AATATACCAGTGGGGGGCTCCCTTTTAAAAATGATTGGCTGCTCGTCATACCTTTTAGGCGGTCAACATTTGTACATCGGTACCGCTTAGGATGCTAAAATCTAAAATGACCACAGTTAGAATTATCACAGTACCTTTTAGGGTATCAAGCCACACTCATCAAACAAGATTCTGCTACCTTTTAGGGTGTTTTTTGAAAATTTCCGATGAGCACTCCGTGATTTTTATATGCGAGATGCCCCCCCTCCCGGGATGAATGTGCCATAATGTCACCAATGTTCGTTCTTGTGATATTCAAAAACATAAAATATAGCCCGTACGCGATCGACAAGGTTTGTTTTATTTTTTTCAGATGTGATACGCAAGGAAATCGTGAAAGGGATGGACAAAGGTAGGCGGTTTTTCAGCATTACAAACAAAATTAATGTTTGTTCAATGCGACTTTGGCGCTCAAGTTCCGACTGATCTTGTTATATTTCTACCGCACAATTTAACTTTTCTCCTTTTTAGTTTGAACATTTGTTTTTAAACGCGTGCGTTGACGAAAATGTCTTGAATAAAAAATCGCGTACAAAAAAAAATTTAATTCTAATTGATTAAAAAGATTGAGCATTTTATGTAACACAAGATGAAAAAGGTGTAATATGAATTTATACGACAACGAAGAAACGCGAAGGGCCTAATTATTAAACAGCTATCGCCGGCCATCGGACGTATTAGGGAAATGACTAAAGATAACCGAAGATTACCGAAGGTATCACATCTTCACGTTTATTTTGAACTTCATGCCTTGACTTATTACGCTTTCGTTGTTTGCATTTTTTTTTATTTACTGTAGACATGGCACAGTAGACTGTCCGATAACTATTTCAAGTCCAGAAACCAGTCCACCCAAAAAAAAGGAAAAAGTACCCTGGTATGTAGATTATTTTAGATAGAAAGAAATCATTAGCAAAAACAATCACTTATCCCAAAGCACATGGTATTGAGATGTTCTTTTTCACTTGTACTTTTGCCATGCAATCCTCAGTACCCAATGAACTTTGGAGAAGATTTCATGGTAATACGTGAATCGTCAGGTCAATCCTAATTTTTCCATAAACAAAATGTGTTAAGTGTTACCCTATTATTGAAACGCTTAGACACCATTAATTGTTAATAGTTGGAATGGTCTGTGTGTTTTCACATGGTCTTCCACAGTCCGAATTGTTTCCCTGTTAAAAATGATGTGTCTTGCTTGGCACTTCTTAGCCTGAAACCTCGTGTATGCGCCTTCACATTCTTGTTGTTTTATTTTTAAATTTTCTCGTATTTTGACAAATTATACGCCCAAGTTAATGCTTTGTCATCGTCTTGTTATTCATTATTTAGGACACGCGTTAATGTCGATTCTGCTACCAGAAGACATCTTTTCGATGCGGATGATGATGAACCACTTGAGGTATAAAATTACATAATTCACATCCGTTTGATGGTATATTGATAACTAGAGCAACAACGAATTTATTTTCCTTATTAAATGAGAGTTGCTTTTCCCTGAATTCTCGTATTGCTTCTATGTACAATTTACTGAATGGGATCGTTACATATGAATCATATATACTTCACCAGGCTCTGTTCTCATAGCCTCTCTCAACCCAGGACTGTAAATTTGGGTACGGGCGAACGTTGACATTACCTGACTCTAATCTGATCTATAGGTCAAATTTCAAGGAAACCACGGTCAACTAATGGAAACTAATGACTCTGAGGATACTTACAGCAGGTTAGTACGTAATAGTATTAATACATGGCAATTACCTGTGAAAATGTTACAGTTAACTGAAAAAATGCTGTATACTGTTAGATGTAGAGTTCTTTCCGCCGGGTTTCGTCCACATGAAATACAAAAGCAAAACGTATGGTTCACATTCGTAAAGGTCAAGCAAATAAAATTGAGTGTCGCGTCGTTTACCTCTTTCTAAAGGTATGCTGGAGAATTCTACGATGGAGACAGACGAACACCGGTATTTAAATGGTGTTCTTCGCCATTAGCTTCAGAAGAGGCCGTCTTCCGCCTTCTACGCCCTTGCGATGAAAGCTTAGTTGCCACTGCCACTCCCAGGAACGTTGCCCACAACTGCGTATTCATGGTCGATTTAGATCGCTTGCCTCACCAAGAAGATGTGAAATGTGATAATCTAGGTTCTTGGCGAAACAATGGAACCAAGAATCGCGTGTACGAAATAAATGAGGATGGGTACCCTGAACTGGTTGACGAAGAAGAAGCAAGGGAAGCAACAGGCACATATACTCTCAAAAGAGTGTACTACAAAAACAAGGCAGCTCCCGACCTGAAGAAAAACATCATGACTTTGAAAGGTAATGTTAACTACTTTTCTACCAGCAAATAGTACATTTTACTAGTGTTTTAATGCAAATGCTGCGTTTTGATTGGCTGAGCTACTCGTGCAGCCGTTAGAATAGGAGGACGCGCGAGCGAGTGTATAGGTGTTCGAAATAAGTGAAGATTAAATGCTATTTGGGGAGAAATGGGGACAAATAATTGGAAATGGTTTTTTGATAATTTTGTGAGAATTTTTTAATAAATAACTGTATATTTAGCTCTCAATTTATATGCTCATGATCTAATTGTTAAATACAGGTTGCTTTCGACTTAGACAAAGAGAGTGGTGGCAGTGGTACTTTATTTACTCGTTGTTATTTTAGCCATAGTTTTCCTTGATTTTTACTTCCATTTCATCCTGTAGAATATCCCAAGCTGTGCTTAATTCAGTATCTCTTCGATGCGGTGGAGCATAAAATTGATGTACCATGCCATGGAAACGTGAAGAAAGGTGGAAATCCATACACGCGTACTAAGCCAAGTGTTATCGCGAACCTACGTTCCGCAGTAAAAGATCAGAAACCTAAAGCAGCATATCATCAGGTTGAGGAGATGGTCGGTGGTATCATGAACGTAGATTGCCTATCTGACCTGCCAAGGAACAGAGACCAAGCCAGTTATTTAAGGCGAGGCTCGTCAGAAAAAAAGGACCACGTTGACTCCTTAGTGATATTGCTGGAGCAGTGTAAAAGACAGCAGTTAGCAAACCCCAAAACCGCCTTTGTTCGTGAAGTTTCTTGCGCACCAGAGTTACGCTGCGTCATGTGTTACGACGACCAGCTTGCTGACATAGTGAGGTTTTGTACAAATCCTAGCAGCTTCGGGATCCTAGGCGCTGACCCAACGTTCAACCTTGGGAAGTTTAACGTGACTGTAACCACATATACCAACTTGTTAGTGGTTGATCGTAAAACGCGCAGGCATCCTGTGATGATTGGTCCCCTATTCATGCACCAAACAAAGACGTATGACGCCTATAACTACTTCTTTTCCAAACTGGTTAGCTTAAACAAAGATATTGAAACGTACTGGCCTTCGGTACGGATGGTGAAGAGCCTCTTTTCAAAGCAATGGAACGCAACATGTACCACGGCATCCACTTAAGATGCTTTGGGCATTTCAGGGACAACTGTAAAGAACAGCTGCGCGCCCTCCCACGAGAAGTTCAAAAGGAGTTCCTGGATGACGTGTTTGGACGCAGGCTTGAAAATGGTAGCATGGAAGCTGGTAAGTTAACCCTCGAACGTACAAGGGGGAGGATGATTTCAAGACAATTTTGTTGTTAGTCCGTGCCGTCATTACTAGCTGTTCGTTTATCTGTGAGACACAATCGGTTTATATGGCAACAAGATATGACGTCATAAGCATAAGCAAGCCATATTTAAAAATGCATATTTTTAACCTTTTTTTTTCAGTGAGTTTTACAACTCTAGCCAAAGATATTTTCAATTTCCGATTTTTAGTAAAATCCAAGATAACGTCACGGACCCCCAGCAGCGCCATAACCCTTAATAATTTCCTTATCTTTTTAGATAAAATATTTCCCAAATATAGTAACACTGCAAAAACCCAGGGGAGGGGTTGCAACCACCCCCCCTCTCCCCCTCTTTCCCTTTTCTCCTCCCCTTGTACGGTCCACGGTGGGGGTATAAGTTTGCGTGTACTCTTTCACTATATCAGATCCCCCTCCCTCTATGAGAAAGGGAAAGAAAGGGCCATGGGAACGAGGTTGCAGGAAAATCCTAAACTTTATTTCGTTTCTCACTGATAAAGGTCTTTTGGATTGCGAGACAGAAGCTGACTTTCAAGCTCAGTTGGTGTCACTAAAGGACGTGTGGGATGAGCGAGAAAAGGCCCATCTGCCTGCTGGAAAGCAACCTTCATTTCACAAATATATCTCGGAAAAGGTGACAGCAGTTCATGTACTTAGGAAATGTTTGAATTGCGGGAGTTTAATTTTGGTAATTTGGGTTTCTGGTAACAAATATATCAACTCGATTTATCAAATTTATTCAGAAACCGCAGAGACTCTTCCCTATTTGTTGTAATTGTAATGTTGGTAATGTTTTCAATTCAAATTTAAATTCAGCTTTTATGGCCGGAGTTTATTTTTACGATATCACATTTCGTGAAACGCTGGAAACCCCGCAAAATTCGCGAAAGTTAGATTGCGCGCAAATTTCATGCCACACGGTTTTCTGTGTGGAATATGGAGAATTTATGTCATCGCCATTTGTAATAACATGCGCGGTTCATATAGCAACGGTTTCATTCAATATTCTTATATTTATGCAAGACCTTCATTTTACTGGAGGTGCTATGTAAGTAACAGTTGGCCAATGACACAAATTGCAATTGAAATCGGACATCTGGCCTTTCATTTCTAAACCAGCCAGCTAGAGATCCCTTTGTTATTGCGTTTTCCGGAACTTGGAACTTTTTAACGTAATCACGAGCTTGACTTGTACTTTAAAAAAAGAAAAAACGTTTTGAAGTACGACAATCCTTGTTTTATGTATAGTTATGGAAAATGTAGAGAATTTACGCCTTATGCTATTAAATTAAAGGACAACATTGTCTCATTTTATTTCAGGAAAAAATGATCCAAGACAACATGTTGCGCCCCATTCGGTTGAATGCAGGCCTAGGAAATCCTCCAGAAGCATATTATAACAACATGCCAGAATCAGCAAATAAAATTATTAAAATGGGAGTAGACTTTCAAAAGAATGAAATGTCACAATTTAACGACAAGATGGAGAAAGTAATTCAGCAGCAGCGACGGGACTGTGAATCAGCCGTAATAAACAGAGGTCCATATGCTCTCACAGACGACTACCTTCACTTACAAATGTCTCCTGACAAGTGGTTTTCCCTGAATGCTCGTCAGCGTGAAAGGCATTTGAAAAAGTTCTGGGAAGAAGTACCTGGAAGAAATGTTGATGTGCAGGATGACAGTGGTAATGTAAACGATGACAAGGAAGAGAACACTTCCCTTACCAGCCCTCCAGAGCTGTCTGTAAGACCAGAGGAGTCAGGTGCAGCTGGTGTAGCTCTTCTTTCCCTAAAAGAGATGTACCGGCAAGCATCCATTCTTCTCCTCAAGAAAGATTCCATTGTGGAAATACCTTTTAAGCCCCATACGTTTATGGTTGAAAGCGACAAGGGAAGGCCACATTATGTTGTACTAGCAGAAAGTGGGAAGGTGACATGCGAGGACTGTCCTCGTTATAAGTCTACAAAAATATGTGCACATTCTTTAGCCGTGGCAGAGAAGTGCGGTAAATTACAGAATTATCTCACTTGGTTTAAGAGAAGCAGCCACACCTTAACTACAACGAGTTACGTCACCTGTGACAGCGCGCCAACAGTTGGCAAAAAATCCCAGAGACCTTCAACGTCGCGTAGGAAAGGTGGTAGAGGGCAAGCTGTCAACATTGTGCCTCGACCAAGTGCCAGTGAGCAAGCTCCATCACCCTCCGCAGCGCCGACGCCCTCTCCTGTACTACCTCCCACCGCAGTGCCACCAGCCTACAAAGCGCCTCCACCCTCTCCATCTGCAGCGCCACCACCCTTCGCAGCTCCGCCCTTCGCAGCTCCGCAACCAGTGGTTTCGCAACCGTCAGAGCTGCCCCTGACATTTCCTTTAAGTCCTTCAAATGCGCTTGGGCGGGTTCCATATCCATCCCCACTGCCAGGGCAGTTTATTGTTTATCCCTTAAAGTTCTGCCCACCTCAAGTGAGCATATGTTATGGGTGTTCTAACACCCTTAAACCGGGAGGGCAGATTCCGCTTCCTCCTCATGATCTAGTCGTAGCCTCCAACATGATGCGAAGCTTCCAGCACGGAGGGCAAATGAGGAGCAAGCAAAGCAATGTATATTTTCATTGTAGTGGTGCCTGTATTAGGGCTAAACAGCCATATTTCTCTCATTGTAGCATGCCATGGTTTATACGTTCTTCGCTAACCGATCAACAGCTTGACTTTCTCAGTAAAATGTTTCCAGTTTATGCCCTTCCGTGAATTGTTATGTATTGTACGTATATAGTGCAACACCATTGGCCCGGCTATTTTTCCGATTCTGAAAACGGACGGCTAAATATCTCAATATGTACGAGTAGCGATAGAAATCTGTTGAACATGGATACGTCTTAATAAAGTTTTGTTTGTTTGTTGGACGAAGGTTCTTCTCCTCTGTTGACTAAATATAGTACGCTGCAGCATATTAACATGGTACCAGAGTCTTCGCTTTGTACTTCTTTACCGCCACAGACAAACCTAACATTTTTTTGATTTTGTTTCGCTTGAGAAAAGAGCGATGAAATTGTTGGACTTAAATAAAAATAAAGCAATAGCTCTTGTGTACGTGGCCACTGGTTCCGTTTCGAGTCCTGGTTCCTTTCGTATCAGTGGACAAAAGAATTTTGACAGATAAAAGTGTAAATTAAAGTTACTAAAATTAGGCGAAACCTCGCGACATAGCCCCTTTAAGTCATTCCTCTAAAGAATAACTAAAATAAATAGATAGCTGAATTTAAATGGAATTTGAAGAGGTTTAAAGAAGGGATAGAAGAAAGAAAATGATTTTTGGAACACCAACAGTTGATACACACAAGAGCACTCCGGGTTGCTAGTGAATATTTCTTATTTCTCTAAAGTTTACAAAAATTTACATCTTTTTCTCATTATTCAGTCTTTTTTTTTCTCATTATTTATTATTTACGTCTATTTTATTTATTTTTATTTTTTAAAATTATTATTGTCCGCCGTCCGCCGTCCGCCGTCCGCCGTCCGCCGTCCGCATCCGCCGTCCGGATCCGCCGTCCGGATCCGCACTTTACAGAGTGTATGTCTTTACAGAGTGTATGTCTGTATTAGTACGCTTAGTACGGTTATTTTATTCGGCCTTAGTACGGCCATGTTCTATGTATGCTGGAATTTTATTCGGTCTTTGTACGTAAGTACGCTTAGTACGGCCATGTTCTCATGTATGTTGGTATTTCATTCAGTCTTCAGGTTCTATGAATGTGGGTATTTTTTTCGGTCTTAGTACGTTAGTATGTTGGTATTTTATTGAGTCTTAGTACGTTAGTACGCTTAGTACGGCCGTGTTCTATGCATGTTGGTATTTTATTCGGTCTTAGTACGTTAGTACGCTTAGTAAGGCCATATTCTGATGTATGTTGGTATTTTATTCAGTTTTAGTACGCTTAGTACGGCCATGTTCTATGCATGTCGGTATTTTATTCGGTCTTAGTACGCTTAGTACGCGCAGGACGGACAATTTTTCCATTTTCATGGGCATGAATGAATGGCTTTCTTCAGTTTTACCACAGAGCACAGCATGTAAAAAAGACAGCTGATATAACACTCAGTGACTAAGAGAATAAAACAGGCCCTCTTCACACCTAACCTTCTGGATCAGTAAGTAAAGACATCAGAATCCAGTATACACAAAATAAACTAACAAAGAACTTACTAAATTCTAAGTACGCTTGTCCGGAGTACTAAGAAAAAAAAATTTCAAAAGAGGTGCCTAGAATGGACAGCATATGTAGTCGAGACATGCTTCAAAAGATCTTCGACTGAGGTGTTTTTTTTAATGTATCCACATTCTTCTATCTACTCTTCGTTGCTATCATCAGGTATCAGGTCTTCTTTTTCCGAAAAACCACTTTACATCTGTAACCTCGCGGACTTCCATGTTACCTTATAATCAAGCTACTGCTATCTGTACTGTACTGTATCCGGTACTGCTATCTGTACTGCTATCTGTATTATAATACTGTATCTATATTATGAGGCAACGAGGCGATTTATTTGGAAAATTCCGTATTTGAAATAACTAAGATTTTTAAAAGCCAACAGTTTCTTTTAAAAAAATTATTCTGTAGATATTATTAGAAGGGATTTTAAATTCATTTCTTTGGTGATATACCCTTAATGAAAAAAGGTTGTTAGATAAACGTTCCAGGGAATATTTGGTTTTCTGAAAAAAACACATTCTTTTCTAAACTGAAAAGTTTCTGAGAAACGTTCTTGTCTTTCCCTAGCAATTTAAATGTTAATATTTTAAATTTATTTTTCTGACATGGTTGTTTGTTCGTTTTCAATTGGCACATACAATTTCAAATTTATCCTGCAAAATTCTTGATTAATCTTTTACAGCCCCATATTTCATCAAGATCAACAGTTACGGATACTTTTACTTTTTTTTGAGAAGGTAATCATCCTTCAATTAATTTGTGGGAAGTTATTATTTGTTTTGAGTTGGGAATCTGTGTAGCTCTTGAATATTTCAGGAATGTATTGACTTGGATGTCAATATATATATTTCTAAAGGTAAACCTGGCTTTAGGTTAAGCATTTCCGAGTCTAATAATTATTTCAATTTGCATCTTGGCTCTATATAAGTTTTTAGATTTGTTAGCAATGATTTCTAACAACGAAATTCAATTACTATACAGTCTTTAATGTTCCCTAAAAATAAAAAAGTGCACTCACTCTACCTATATTATAATGCTGTAGGCCCATTTATTTGGAAAAGTCCGTATTTGAAGTACCTAAAATTTTTAAAAGCCAAAAATTTCTTCAAAAAATTATTCTGTAGACGTTATTAGGGGTGTTTTAATTTAAAAACGTCATTCATTTCTTTGATGCTATGCCCATTATAAAAATAAGAAGAGATTCAACGTTGAACGGTTACGTTCAAGGAAATAATTAGTTTCTGACAAAAACACGTTCTTTTTTGAACCGAAAATTTTCTTAGCAATACGCTTGTTTTTCCGTGGCCGCAAGGAGGTTTGGTAATGAATTGTAAGTAGCAATTTAAATGTTAATTCTTTTTTAAGGCTGAGGGTCGCAAAATTGTTTTATATCTGTTATATTGAGGTTTTCACAATTTAGTTATTATCATTAATGGTACTCATACGATAGCAAAAGATGAATTTTTGAACAATAATCTGTTTCTGCAAAGAATACTTCACATTTGATAGCAATGAGGTATTACGACGAACGGTCATTAATGTTACCATAAATTCATTTCTTTGCTGCTATGCCCATTATACAAATTGAAGGAGATTTAACGGTTACGTCCAAGGAAATAATTGGTTTCCGAAAATAAATAAATTAGATCGTGTTTATTCATGATTTTCAAAAAAAGATTGTTATTGAAATCTAAGCATCTCTAAGGAAACTTGTTTTCCACGTATTATCAGATTTGTTCCCAATGAATTAATCATAACGAAATTCCCATAAATATAGGTCAGAAACAAGGAATTTAACAAGTCCAAGCTTGTTTCTCCTCGTTGCTCTAGCATATCAGGTGAGTGAAATGGTTTACTAGATTAGCCTATTATCTGTTACATGAGCCGGTTTATATGTTGCTTGAATATACATCTAGGTTCAGGTAACGTTTATTTAAGCCAATCGCATCTTAGACTTTCTTTCTGGGGATAGAAAAGAATGGCTTTGAAATTTAGAAACACTGCTGTAAACGTATACATTTGTATTGTTCTTTATTTTCCCGTCCCGTTGGCTAAAATGCTGATTAAGGGGTAACACGGGTTTAACGAAAAAATTCTGTTTATTCTTCTTAGAGCTCCCAATCTTCAACTTACAGACAAAAAGAATTAAGCTTAATTTGCTTTTTTAAGGTTTCATATCTGAAATCAAGTTTCACGCTAACCGTGAGTTGTGGTTACCTACAATGCTTTGAACAAGCTGAAGAAAACTATTAGGTGCCCGTTTGACGTGGTATCAACAAGAATTTTTCAGGAAATTTACTCCTAGCGAACAGATATACGTATTTTTTTCAATGACAAACTTTAGAGATATTCAGAACAATTGAAAATAAATAAATAAATGCTGACTATAAATTGTCTGTTCCTTTCCCGTGCTCATGATCGAAATAAGGGAACTGAAAAACTCAAAAAGTCAGCAAAGAACTAAGCGTGCGGAAAATTTACACAAACATTCACGAGCCGCAATTCTTCCAACCGATGCTTTTGAACTCCAAATTTGTGCACAAAAAAAGCGCGTCTTCTTGTGCTGCGGAAAACATTCCCGTACCAGCTAAAAGAAGAACGTTGTAAAAGCTTTTTTTTCCACGTTCTATCGTAAACAAGCCTGTAAACTACCAATTTTGCATTAAAGGAAAGCAAAAACGTTATTTTGTAGGAAGTTTTTAAAATCATATGGACCCGTTTGCGCACTTGTCAAAATGGTCAAGCTACGCCCATGTTACAAACTTCGTTTTGTTTTTCAGTTTCTTTTGAAATCAAGCTGTCGTCAGAGAAGACTAGAAGATGAAACTGCTGTTTATTGTGGTTGTTAGTCTCCTGGCTGTGGGTTATGCCAGGGACCAGGAAGCAGAGCTTGCAACCCGAGGACGTAAAAAAGGTAATCATACTAGATAGAGGGGTGGGGAGGGGGCGAAAGCTACTTTCATGTGGAAATAATTTTTAAGTGTTTTGAAACTGCAAGAAAGGCAGCTAAACTTGTCATTACCGTTGAAGCTTGAAACGGTAAAAAAGCTATAAGATAAGATACATTGGTCTGCTCTTAGGATATTAAGGATCCCGGAATAAACCACATGTGGCCGGAGTTGCTTTCCAACTCCATCGACTGGAGTATGTACTCGCTTTGTTTTAACGCTTTGGGTATTCAATGACTTTCAGCTATAAATGGTTTAAGCCTACACCGAACATACCGTGTTCAATTTTCCAACGGATACAACGTTTTCATAACGTTTTGACTCTTCATGTCCATCTAATGAAAGGTTTACGTATTCGGGTTAAATCTAAATTGGTATGGTAACTTTAACTACTTTCAAATACATTCCAATAATTTTAGGCTAACGAATGAAAGAAATAATTTATATGTAAATGACTAAAAATCATGTATCAACAGGGCCCACGCAGGGGGAGGTGCTGGGGGGGGGGGGCCAGGGTCCCCCCACTTTTTGCAAAAAAATAATAATAAAATTAAGAAATACACATTTTCTAATAAAAGGAATCTTTGATGGAATAAGAGTTATAGACTGGCGGACCTCGCCAGAGCATCCAAACTTATGATTGGTCCGTTTCGATCCTATATCATATGGTAAGCCTCAAAACGACTATCTTTCAAAACTGCACTTAGTCGTAGACTTCCGCGTTTTCACCAGCAAAGTGATGTAGTATATGCACAAACAATGGAGTCTTTTTTTATCAAGGTTCTTAAATCTCCACGGAGCTACGATTTCTTAAAAAAAAAAATGAACTCGATGACATTGTAGACGACATAAAAACGTTTCAGGAATTCCTCAGCAGAGCATGATAAATGGAATTGTCCCGATCTGCAAGCTTCTGCTGGTAAATCCTTCGACAGGAAAAGCTGGGTCCTTTTCGGCAACGCGAAGGTTAAAAACTTGGCTCTGTTCGACAAAAGTTAAAGGAAGGTTCTAAACAGCCGCAAGGAGGGAACTGACAAACTTTGAAAGTGAATGAAACACGCGAAAATTATGATGCTGCTGTGCATGGTTACACGGGAAATCGCATAGCCACTGGCTTCTTGTAAAGCAGAGACAACGAGAGAGTCAATAAAGACGAAAACGGAAAGCGGAAATTGTTTCTGTATCCCTGTTGTCTAAAGTATTAAGCTTAGATTAATTGTCATGTCCACAAATTTGGAATATAGAGCAAGAGAAAGAGAGAGAAAATGAGAAAGTACATGTCGGCGGCAGACCAGCGAAGCTCAACGAGAAAAAGGGCGACAGAGATCGAGATCGAGAGATAAAAAAAGGAGACATTTTTTTGTTGGAAGAACAACATGAAAATTTTATAGCGACGGTGACAAAATGAGAAATGCTAGCGGCCACCAATCAAATGCAATGTGAAAATTAGCGGCAGTGAAAAAAAGTGAACGAGAACCCCCTACGACATTTTCTCCATTAAAAGTGTAACTAAGAAGTTTGAGTCGTGAAAAACAACGGAAAAGAAATCTACAAAAAAAGTGTGCTGCAAGTGCAAAGTTGCTTTTTGCCAATTAGACTTATTGTTGTTTTTCACCGTTCTCCGGCGTTGCCTTCAGGGCTTAGCATTACACGATTTTATATTTTGTTTGAACAAACTATAAATATCATCGAGAGCTTCGCTTTTAGCGCTGGCTAAATCAATATATTACTGAATGCAAGGCTAGCAATACGGCAGGGGGTTGATTTATTTGAGGCCAATATTTCGGCTAACAAAATTAGCCTCCCTCAGAAGCTACACTGAACTGTTCCCAATCCACTTCGCTCCTCTCCCTTCCAACAGCACTTTGGAGAATAACACATAGATCATCCACCAATCATTAATTATTTTTTACAGGCAATTCCTGTGTGAAACAAGAAGGAGCCAAGTGCATCAAAAGAGGAAAACCCTGCCCGGCCGGTACTGAAGCTTGCTCTGATAGGTTCTCCTGTGGGAGAAGGAAGAAGAACAGAAACAAAATATGCTGCTGCCCGAAACCTGAGCCGACCACCGAGCCGACGACTTAGCTGACGACTGAGCCGATGACTAAGCCGACGACTAAGCCAAGGCCGAGTGTGTATTTCAAACAATTCTTTAATATCAGGGGCACTCAATGGATCTGTCCCTCAAAATATCTGTTCTTCACGGAAAATTTTTGCTGGCTGGGAAATTTGGAAAATTAATATGTCCTTGGAAGTTGCCTTGGAAGGAACGTGTTGCTGGGGAATAGACAAGCCAGGGTGTCTGAGGGGATTTGTTGTCAAATTTCAAAGGAAAATTGGGTGTGGCCTAGGGGCGAACTTCACCCCTAGGCCACACCCAATTTCTTTCTATCTAACCCTCCCCGCCCCACCCCCCACTTACAGCTGCAAATGTCATCTGGGTTTTGCGGGAGTTCTCTGTGAAAGACGAGGTAACAAATAAGAACCCTTTTGTAATTTCAATATTGTATTACAAAAGGGATAGCATTGTTCTTATCGAGTCAGCAACTTTATTTTTGACAGCTATTCTTTGTTACCTTATGTTTTGTTAATATGGTATGTACCTCTTATTGGCCGAGTTTGAAGCCCATATTAAGAATACACCCCAAGCATCCATAATTAACATTACAGACCGAGAAACTGAGGCTAAGAAGATGTTTATGAATATAGCTTCCTGTTTGGTGAAAAATGAAACAAGCGATTTGTCATAAAAAGAAGGGTTTTTTATTGGCTCTAAAAAACACTAGCAAATAACTAACTAGGCTTTCTACTGAAAGTGAAATGAAAATGCAAATGCGAAATGTTACAAAAGTCTTTAGTCGGCGGTCAAAACTAGGAGCACCGCAATTAGCACTGTAAGTAATAGCTCGCCAATGTACGATGGAGTCTTTTTATAATTGGATACTGTGTCTGCTTTAAATCTCCTCCATCTTTCTTTCTTCCGTCTGTGATAAACAATTTAAATGGCAAAAAAGCGTGTTGAGATGATCAGGTGCCTTTTCTTGTCTTAAGCTATGCCAATCTACACAGTATTACAAAATTCACTTGTGAGATTGTAATTGTGGGTTTTTTTTTTCATTTATCGACCCAAATTAGGTAAAACCTGCAGTGAAATAAAACTGCACAGTCCGAAAGCTACAAGTGGATCGTATGTTATCGACCCCGATGGAGAAGGAGGCTACGAACCATTCACTATTCATTGTGACATGACAGACAAGAACGGAGTTGGTCTGACAGTTGTTGGTCATGACAGTGAACAGAGGACCTTGGTCAGAGGGTATGGAAGCTATGTACGTGATATTCATTACACAGGAAGCGGCCTGACAAGCAATGCTCAATTGTTTGGTCTTCTGGACATCTCTACACATTGTGATCAGTTTATCAAGTACGAATGTCATGGCTCTCTCCTCTTGTTTAGTCCCGGTAACCCAAATGGATGGTGGGTCTCACGTGACAACGTTAAAATGACATACTGGGGAGGGGCCACTCCTGCGGATTCCTACAAGTGCGCATGCGGGGTGGACAACACATGTGCAGACAGCAGCCGTGGATGTAACTGCGATAAGAATGATGGCGTGTGGCGTGAGGACAGCGGTCTCCTTACTGAAAAGTCTGACCTTCCAGTTTTACAGCTGAGATTTGGAGATACAGGCGCTTCATTTGAACATGGTTAGCACACGCTTGGGAAACTCAAGTGCTACGGAGGTCAATAGTGTGCTACAGTCAGTCCTTAATGCCTTTGTCCTTGCGCAAAATGCTCGTGGAAAGAGTTTTGAAGAAAGTATCAGAACAATTTCATCAGGGAGCACTAACCATAAATTTCTTGTTGTTGTAGTTTCAAATTAAGCAATTGAGTTCATTCTGAATAGTTTTCTGGATCACAATTACTATTACACATCAAGAGCATAGAATAGAAGTTTGAATACATGTGACAATTCTTACTTTCAACTAAGTATATGGTCAATAAATGGGTTAAAAAGGGAAAAAAGCGTCTGACTAGTATAATAGAGAACGCTATCGATTTTCTTCAGCTCTGCCCTCTATGCATGTTATGCAGCCCCAGGTCCAAAATCTTGAATTTGCTGAATTCTACTACAAGTCTTTTAGTTTTGTGTCACTACTTTGGTTCTAGTTCTTTATGGATCGATAACTGATACCATCTGCCCTCCCACGGGCTCCTGGCCCTCCGTCTCTATCAAGCCCCACCCACTTTCACCCCCCTTCCCACCTCTTCATAGAGGGCACTTAATAGAGGATTTACGGTATTTCATTATAAGCAAGATAAGACGCCCTTTACATTCCTCTTTTCCTGAGTTCCCTTCCGTCGTAATCTTCTCCGTTTTCTTTTTGGGTTCGATTTTGGATGCCTAAACAGGTCAGAGTGAAGATTGTAGTTATCCTGTGGGCTTTTTTTATATAGCAGGAGACTGGGGCCGGCATATTCTCACACAAATTTTACAAAACAAACAGGAAGGCTTTCCTGCCGGTGTGTTGTTATCCTGAAGGAATTAAGCTAAGCTTTTGCACACTATGCTTTTGTTTACGCACTAAAATGCTCTACCTTAATGCTCCATTTTTCCACTAAAACGCTCCGTCTCCTCAAAAAAGTCACTAAAATGCTTGATAATGCTTATCATGTTAATGGCTATTATATACACATAACAGAGCAAAAGATAATACTCTAGACGGCTGTATTCGGTTGACATTTGAGATTTGTTTCTTCGACATGAAGCTCACAAGTTTTCCTTCAAGAATTTTTCATTCTCATTTTCTCTCTTCCAAAAGAATAATTTTCTGGAAAAAAATCCACTCATTTAAAATGCACGAATAATGCCAATGTTTACTGAGTTATAGCTGATGAACTAGACATCCGTGAAACAGCCCTCTTAACTGACACTTAAGAATTTTGCTAAAACAACCAGGTTCGCTCAGGGAAAATGAAACCATGGGCACCATTCTAATCAGCCTGCTTGGTCGTACAATTGGCGCTGGCTAGACTTGCTACAAATCGACCTCTTGGCGAGCGGAGCGAGCCAGTTTTTTGGCCGTGAAGCGGCCGACCGCGAGGACGAAGGACTTTTTTGAAAGTCTAGGAGCTTGCTGATGCACTGAATTAGCGTAAGAATGACGTCAGCGTGTCATTGACAAAGGATGTGTTTTAATTATGACTTTATCGGCGTTTTTATTAGACGTAGAAATTGAAACTTTAATTTTAATCGTTAGTCGCAAGAAAATGAGAGTGCAAATTGAGTTTTATCGACACAATCTGTCATTTCTATAGTTTCCCTTGTGTGGTAACCTGTCGCGGCTAATGGATGCTGTAATGTGCCCTGTTAGAGAGCTAGAGAAACTGCCCACCTACCCCTCCCCTAAACCAACGTCTTGCCCTAAGTGAGAAGTAAGTGTGAATGTTGGCTTAACTTTCCCAGAAAATACAGACTCAGGTTAGAAGCATGGGTTCACTTTGATTTGGGAAAGTCTTTTTGATCGATTAATAAAGTAGCCTGTGAGGAGGGCTTAAGGGTTTGCAATGATGCCGTTTTGCTCGATTTTAGTGTAGTTTTGCGGGAATTTTTATTTCAAGTTGCGGTATTGCGGTTTTACAAAACCAAGCAGTTTGTGGAATTTTCGGGGAATTTTAAAAAGGTTTTCAGTTGTTTATGTTATTTTGTGCGGTGTTTAAACGTATTTCTGTGGTTTTGCAGTATTCATACCCCCCTTACATTGTACACCTCCCTGCTTCTCTCCGGCATTTTATCAACGGCGCATTTAATCAACTAAATATGGTATGTCACACATATAACTGTAAAAAAAAAATAGAGGAGTTTTTTACCTTTTTCTCAGAGCTGCCTTTTCTTGCTGATCTTATTTTCTGATTGTATTACATTGTCTTGCAGTTTACCTTGCTGTTCCGCTTAATCAAGATTCCAAAATATCTAACACAGTGCAGTCCATCACTGGAAGAAAATCACATTGACAAAAATTAAGTTAACATAATTATTGCAACTTTTTTAAGGTTAGAACTTGAATAAGACACTCCTGGCAGTAAAGAAGACAAGAAAACTTTCCTGTTTAGCAATTTATTCATATTTTAAAGACAGTCTATTTATTAAGGCATGCAGCATACTAAACTGGATATGTGAAAGGGGTTAGATTTAGATAATGACATTTGTAACTCAATCTCTCTTTCCAGGGTTTGTACAGATTTTTGGATCCAAAATTCAAGATTTTTTCCAAAACAATAATTTCTCTTTCGAGACTCAAGGTTATCAAATAGGTGAGCAGTAGAGAACTTAAAAACAGCAGGAACAAAACTTTATCAGAGATGCGCTGCAAACGTACTGGCGAGATGGAATACGATTGACAAACAGGAAAAAAATTTCACTTGTAATTAAAAAGCAGTTATTGTAGCTTTCAAAAAAACTTTCTGCCTTTTTTTTCCAGACTTTTTCTCTATTTTCCAGACTTTAACCAGGTCTGGAAAATTGCTGGGCAAATTTCAAGACTTTTTCAAGAATTCAAGACTCTGTATGAATTCTGTCTCGTTTAAAATGAGTCTGAAAAAGTATATTATTAACAGCTATAAGTCTAGTAGATTTGAATAGTTTCATTATCATAGAACTTTACCTGTCCTTCAATAACATAATTATTTGTCGTTTGTAATATATCATGTTTGCCGTAATTTAAGCATTTATTAATTTACAGACTGATTGTTCTTGATACTCATTTACTGAACCTTCAACTGTTCTTTTTTGGAATTAATTGTTATACACCAGCTGTAACTGTGCATGTGTAGCCATCATGAATTGTAATTGAGCAAGCCTTATGTTATAAGCCCTATGGTTTCTATTTAAGGCTTCCTCACCACTTCTGTTTTGTACAGGGTCCGAAATTGCGCCTTCCTGGTCGCCAATGCGATTAAAAATTTAGTCCTGGCGACCAGAATTTCATAGCTGGTCGCCAGCTAGCGACTTGTAAAGCATGTTGTTACTGTGGACTTTAACGTTCGGAGAAACTGATTAAGAATTGAAACCTCGAAGCTATTTGCCAACAGGAGTCTTACTTTTGTCCTGCTGATATTTTTTAATTAAAAGTGAAACGATTCTTCCCGTAATAATACCTCAACAACAGCTACGATCAATACGAGTTGTACGTTTCCAAGCCGTCATGTTGTTTTCAGCTGAAATACGGTAAGTACGTTGTGTACTTTGCGGACTGGTACGAGTGATGTGGCACAGTTGTGGCCTGGTACGAGCAACATGGCGGCTTGACTCGTGTTTACGTTTCGTGTTTCGTGGTAGTTATCGGAAAAAAAATAGAGTTTTGATATGATCAGTGCAGTCATGGGCAGACAGCTTTCTGTTCCTACGTTCTAAGTCAGACAGCTTTATATCTCCAAAAAGTAATTTGTGGAAAAAAAAAAGACTTCACTCGTACACGTACGGTTGTTTTCTGGTATCGGAAGTAGTGCAATTTTCGAGCATAAAAACGTCCATACCATGCATTTTTTATTCGTGTTTAAACTATTATTGAAAAAAAAGGGAGGGGGAATTTTTGGCGACCACAATTTGCCCTCTGGCGACCAAAAATTTATACTTAATCGCCAGTTGGCGCCCGTATTAAAAAGTTAATTTCGGACCCTGCATTGTAGTGTATTTTTTAAACTTTCTTTCTTTGTATATTTTGTGTGGCAAAATTTAAATAAATAAATAAATAAATAAAACCAATAAAGGGTACCATTTATCAATATAAGGTATATGGAAGGGGTACCTTTGCTGTCCAAAATGGTATATGATTATATGTAAAAGAGAATGGGGTTGGACCATGGGACAGAGCTCCCCCCCTCCCTCCTGTATAAAATATTTTGTTCAGTACTTCTCCCACCACCCCCCCAAGGGAAAATCAACTTGCCCAAAGGGTAAGATATTATTAGTTAACTTTTGGAGATGAGATCTGTGAGGAGTTTACACTTCTACATGCAGCCCACTGTAACACATTTTGGTAATAAAGTTCCTCGAGGCAAGAGCTCTTGTTTTCCTACCATGAACATGCAGCGGGTGAATTTTGCAAAATACCGAAGAACTAGCAAACCCCAAACAACTCTGAAATTTAGTGATCTGGGTTACAAAACTGAGTGACTCAAGTTCCAGGTTAGTTCACCCAGTATACTACAGCTACTGTAGGTCCTTCAAACTGATTCACATTTTTTGTTTCCTAACCTTAATCACTAAACTTTGGAGTCATTTGGCATTAATCAGCCCTTCAGTGCTCCGAAAATACCCCTGTGATCAAAATATGTGCATTAAAACGTATCCATAAGCAAACAATTGGCTAATGTTTTTTAAGCATTTCTTTTTTCTGCAAAACGAACCTGCAATCTAGGGAAAGCTCTGGTAAGCAGACAATGACAGAGGCCTTGTGGGTGTCTGCTAATTTCAGGTGGCAGGTACACAACACAGGTCACAGGTCAGATCACAAGTGCAGGCTAGAGTACAAGTCACCTTGCAACACCTTGTGATGATGTTAAGGGCAGCAGTATGAATGAAGGGAAACAAGCCAATATGTAAAAAAAATGTTGTGAAAAAAAAGAAAAGAAAGAAAAAAAGGGAAAAAATACCTTGGCCAACAGTCGAACATGGACCACCTAAATGTTAAGTCAACTCCTAGTCTCCTG